AAAAAAAAAAAAAAAAAAAATTTATTAAAATTTTCCAAAAAATATATAATAAAATCTTACGGTAATTAATTAACCGATCCCAAGAAATTTCCCCGATTTGTGATAATCATATTTAACATTGCACATGCGCAACAAACTATGACGCAATTACACACAGAGCCGATCCGCACGTTATTTGTTTATTGTTCTTTAACTAAACTACTTTCTCCATAACTTTGGGAAAAAGGTTACGAAATAATTTAGATTCGGTGAAAAAAAAAAAAAAATTATTAGAATTAGTTTGAATCATATATTTTTTTGTTTTTGTTTTGTGTTACGCACTATTGGCGTTTCTGTATCGCGAAGATAACACGAAAAAATTAATTAATTTTTTTGATATGATCGATCAAAATATTATGAATCTTGTTGAAAATTCTCGAAATTTTTTTTTTTTTTCTCGTTTCTTTGTTTGAAAAAAATAAAATAAAATAAAATAAAAAAGAGTATTAGCTAAGACTTATTCGATAAAATGTACAACAATTAAAAAATTTTAAGAATAATTTAAATATTATATCATACGTGATTTACAAAAAAAAAAAAATTAAGAGTTACTAGGGTTGCCCGAATTATTTCTGAAACGTTACCCTTAAAATTATTTATCCTTAAAATTATTTAACGAGTTCCCATAAAGAATTTTTTAATTACAAAAGAAGTAATTATATCGTAAGATCATGCTTGATTATTTGTTAAACTAATCTATTTTTAAAATCAATATATTTATTTCGAAATCTTATTCTTTAAAGATGTAAAGGGTAATTGATGTGCAATTGGTTTGGGTCATTTGATGTGGGGCTATCTATAAAAGTTACCCGACTTTTGTAGCTGTCTCTTATACACATCTAGATGTGTATAAGAGACAGATATTATACTATATTATACTATTATATACTATATGATACTATATGATACTATATATATATAATATATTGTATTATATTTATATGTTACTAAATATATCAAGAGAATAGAAAATCGTTTATTTATTACGTAACAATTTAATTTGCATATACAAAATGATTAAAAAAGGTGATATTGGAACAATGCCCCACGTATTGGTTATTACACCACTTTCATCATTAAAAAAAAAAAAAATCCTCAGGTGATAATTTTTAAACAAATAAACAATCATCGATTTATTTCCCGTGAAAATCATTTTTTTATGACGGAACATTTCTCCCTAATTTATAAAAATGATGATTTCATTTATTTATATTCCCTAACTATTATTTAAGCCTTCTTTTTTTACTTTTTTGTTTTTTTTTATTTAGAATATACAATTTTAAACGATAAATATTATATTTTTTTTTATTCATATCGAATGATTTCGATTGTCATACATTAATAGTAATTTCTTTTTTTTTTTAAAAAAAAACAAAGTAAAAAAAAAAAAAAATTTTTTTTTTTTAAAGCGAAAGTAAAAAGTAAAATGATCAACATTGTTTGTTACCTAATTAAAATAAATTGTAATGCATTCTTTTACTAAATATAAAAATTTGAGTAACAAATGACAAAATTCCTGTAAGTTTTCTGTCAAATGTATTATTGTATCATTATTGTTTCCCGGAATTATTATGTCACGAGAGAAAAAAAGCCTCACTGACATCACTCTATAATGCCGGCCGCTCAATACCGATTAAAGAAATTTACTCCGCCATGTTAAAACTAATTTAAGTAAATTGGCGTTTTTTTTTTTCAAATAAAAAAAATATATTAAATTTCAAAACCTATGAAAAAAAAATTTTTTTTTTTTTTTTGGTAATTCCAAAATGACTCCATTACACAAAATTTTTACGTTTTGAAAATCTCATTAAACGTTCTAAACCATTTATTGTCACTGGTGGCTTAACATTTAGACCTAAGACAAAAAATTATAAAATAAACTAAATAAAGTAAATTACTTTGTACATATAATACATATATATTAATAAAATATTTAGAATGTTTCACAATCATAAATCTTTGAAAATTGTTTTCCGAGACATTTATCTAAATAAAGATTAGATTAAATATAATCAAATATAATTTCTTTAACTGTTATCGGATTTCAAATTTCCTAATTTATTTTCTTTTTTTTTTTTTTACAAAGAATATCAAGAATATCTTTGAACTTTATTCGTACTCTGTGATGCAGGAATATAAACAAAGCGTAATTTAATGTGTCATAGATCTATAAATTATTATTTATGTGTACAATATAATACGTGTTTAAATATGATTATTTTGTTATATATAAATTATAATTATATTCGAATTTTTTTTTATTTTTAATCCCTTTTCGAATTTTCTTTCTTTGACGATCTCAATTAAATCACGTGATTTCGATTAAAAAAAATATACAACTCAACTCAATTAATAAGATTATTTTTTTTTTTCTTCATATCTCTTTCATTTGATAGAGAGTAGCCGAATTATTATGAATAAAGAATTTCAATGATAAAAAAAGTTTAAAAGCCATTCAAAACAAAACAAAAAAATATACTGTATTTAGTTAAAATAATTCAAAATACGTTCCCATTGTTAAGACTTTTCCATGATAATCGATTTAAAACATTATCAATGAAAAAACTTATGAAATTATGATGTAATATTATTATTAGAAAAAAAAAAAAAAAAAAATTTATTAAAATTTTCCAAAAAATATATAATAAAATCTTACGGTAATTAATTAACCGATCCCAAGAAATTTCCCCGATTTGTGATAATCATATTTAACATTGCACATGCGCAACAAACTATGACGCAATTACACACAGAGCCGATCCGCACGTTATTTGTTTATTGTTCTTTAACTAAACTACTTTCTCCATAACTTTGGGAAAAAGGTTACGAAATAATTTAGATTCGGTGAAAAAAAAAAAAAAATTATTAGAATTAGTTTGAATCATATATTTTTTTGTTTTTGTTTTGTGTTACGCACTATTGGCGTTTCTGTATCGCGAAGATAACACGAAAAAATTAATTAATTTTTTTGATATGATCGATCAAAATATTATGAATCTTGTTGAAAATTCTCGAAATTTTTTTTTTTTTTCTCGTTTCTTTGTTTGAAAAAAATAAAATAAAATAAAATAAAAAAGAGTATTAGCTAAGACTTATTCGATAAAATGTACAACAATTAAAAAATTTTAAGAATAATTTAAATATTATATCATACGTGATTTACAAAAAAAAAAAAATTAAGAGTTACTAGGGTTGCCCGAATTATTTCTGAAACGTTACCCTTAAAATTATTTATCCTTAAAATTATTTAACGAGTTCCCATAAAGAATTTTTTAATTACAAAAGAAGTAATTATATCGTAAGATCATGCTTGATTATTTGTTAAACTAATCTATTTTTAAAATCAATATATTTATTTCGAAATCTTATTCTTTAAAGATGTAAAGGGTAATTGATGTGCAATTGGTTTGGGTCATTTGATGTGGGGCTATCTATAAAAGTTACCCGACTTTTGTAGTCAACGATACATTCCATTTTCGATTCCATTTACACAAAAAAAAATTCTTTTTTATATAAATATATATTTAACCTGATTTATTGTGCAAGATTTTACTTTTTTGTCTCCTTCTTTCTTTAAAGGTAACATTGTACCCATCAACACAATATAAAAATCTTTTCGATCACGAGTTTTATGTTACAAACTTTAAAACACATGATTTTTTTTTTCACCAGCCTCTTTTTTCTTCTCATGAAATTATGAAATTTAAACTGAAATTTGAGCAAAGAAAAAAAATCCCATTTTCTTTTTAATTAATATTTAAAAGTAGTGACTCAAATACATATAAAAAAGTAAATCTAATAAATAAAAAAAATATATATAATATCATAAATTCAAAAATTCTCCTATTCGTTTGTCGGTATTTCTTAACTTTTTACATTTATTAATAGTAGCATGCATGGTATTTTAGTAAACAAATGATCAAAACAACTAAAATGATTTATTATTTAATTGGATTTTATTTCAGAAAAATCTCGACAAAAGAGAAATATTCCGTTTTAAATTCTCAACGACGATAACATTATATCGAACGATATGGTCAAATACGAATTTCTTGTGTTGGGTTATTATTTATCACTCTGATCTATATTTAAGGATTAATCGACTTTAATCGTACAGGAGGTACTCTTGATAAATTTATTGTGTTGTAATTGTTGTTATAGTTGTTTTAATTATTGTGTTGTTATAATAGTTGTTACATTGTTATATTATTAGAATTTTATATTATAATTGTTGATTGAGTTATAGTTGTTGCATATTTATTAACATGCATATTAAATTATTTAATATTAACAGTAACTTAACGGAGACTTGCTTGAAAATATAGGATTAGTGAATAGCGGGAAGATTCTTTAACCATTTTTTTCTGGGATGTTGTCAACCCGTCATTTTCGTCAATTTTACAAGAGAGTTTTATGTTATTATTGTAATGTGTATATATATTTATATATACCACATTTACCACATTAAAGAGAATGACTATCACTAATGATAAATATTTTAATAATTTAGGTACGTCATGCTATTCATCTAAAGTATATATTCTTAAATTAATTAAATTATAAACTTATACAAATGTGTAATATAATTTACAGGTTATTAATTACCATATCTGGAATTGGTCCGGAGGGGTAGGAATTATAGGAGGCAGGAATAGGTTCTGTGGGCGTTTTTTTAGGGTTACTTAGGGGGTCATATATGATTACTATATTGGGAGCGTTCTGTGGCCGTTTGGCGAACTATTTATGTCTTATTGGTTGGTATATTTGTATATCTCGTCGAAAGATAAGAATAATGGACTATCGTGGAATATATCTCCTCTTTCATGGTAAAGAACAATTTAACTAAATCTCGCAGCGGGTCGTTACTTTGTTTATATTATTATGAAGATACATACCAGAGTTTGACTGTTAATGCCGTCACTCCTGCCAATAAAACACCCGAAATTAAATAATTTAAATAAATAATCAATTATTATTGAAAATAGTGTCAAATTCTGGCTAAATGTAGGAACGATACATAATTACTTAATTGCGATTCGTCTAATAATGAATACCGAAGATTTACCGAAACTAGGTAACCGGTTTAACTGAATGTGAAATGCTAAGAAATATTATTTTTTATATTAGAATTTATCTGTAACAAACTTTATTTAGGAAAATTCTGTTGTAAAATTTTTATAGAAATTTGTATATTATATGGTCGTCAATTTCGTGGGTTCTTAGGTTGAGCTTCTACTTCCTCTACTTGCTTTTCATCAATTCTGTAGTTTCTGTTTGAGTCGTTGTAGCATTATTGCTGTTTCTTCTCTCGGTTGCTGATTATAATTAAAAAAAATTTTAAAGAACGTAGAAATAATGAGAATACTAAAAATATTGAAAATATTCCATATATTTTTTAAAAAAAACTTGTAAACGAACGACACGTCACGACTTACGTCATCGTTATTTATGATCACGTGTTCCTGCGTCCGCGACAAAAGTTACAATAAAATACTTTAATATTTTTAATATTCTTTTCATTATCGATATCCAAAAAACCATGTGGAGTATGCCTGACCTTTAGCAAAAAATGGATTCATTCGATTCATTCAACGATAATGTCACATGTGAGAATGAATTGTTTCAAAAAAGGAAGAACTATTGCTTTTTTGGCAGTAACCCAGGTAAAAATCCTGACATATGTACCTTCATGTCTTCGTTATTGCAAACATTTCAGACAATAATTATTAAACTATAAGCATAACGTGCATATTTTCAATTAGAACGCTTCCAAATTTGTTGCAATAATATCAAAGTAATGATACTCCATCGCATCGTTTCCAATACCAGTAATTAATTTTAACTATAAATTTAATTAAATTAATTAAATTACAATTTTCTATTTTGATTGAAATACTTAAAAAGAATTAATGACTTCATAATGAACTATAAATTTTGATCTTCAATTCTCAACCTATCCGAAACCTGCAAATCCGGATAAACTGCGGACATAATCGTAGGTATCCGCATTTATCCGATCGAATAAAACTGGAAGTACAACATCTAAACACCCAATAAAAAATAAAGCTAATTATGCATCAAAAATTTAATTATCATTATCTGCGAAAAAAAATTATTTACATGGATGTTAAAAATAAATTATTTATTAATCCTTGCCAAAATTTTATTTTCATTTAATAATACAAATTTCAAATGACATTAATTGACAAAAAGAGCAGGTTAATTCATATATATATATATATATTCATTAAAGTGATATAAGTAAATTTAAGGTTTAATAAATTAATACAAATTTACTGTCTAATGTCTATTGATTTTTTTTTTATTGTTCAAAGCGAAACGACCATAATACAGTATTTTTAACATATTAGATCAAAAAGCTCATCAAATGAAGCTATACAAATGCGAATAATTCTACAATAAACTCATGCCATGTTAGTGATTTTTTTACATAAATATAACCAAATTTGTCGATATTAAAAAGGGTTTAAATTTAGTTATCCCATCGGTATTATGTATACACTGATGGATTTTTTTGTCGGATCTATACTAACAACTCAATTTATTTTAAATTGCTCCACAAGTATAAAAAGTATAAAATTTATCGGTGTTATACATAATACACAATGAAATAAGCCTGATATTCCATGAATCTCTAATAAATACTCAATATACACCGATGCCTTCCGAATAGCTAATTTTATTTTTATTTGAAAAAGAGTTTACTTTTACACAAAAGAAATTTATAATATGAATTGCACTTTAAGAAATTATATAAAGTCTTAAAATTATTAAAGTTACACCGTGAAAAAAACCAAAATAAACTATAATTATTAACGGACTAATTAATGATATGTGCAACATAACAAACCTACCTCACTTTTAAATACCATCTTAAAATAATTAAATATGAATTAAAAAAGACATTAAATAATTAAATAATTAAACTAATCCCCTATCGGCTATCGCACTAAGTGTCACTCATGATCACCTTCATACTAATTTTTTAAAATTGCGAGTAATTACCATTGCTAAATCTTCTTTGCTTACAAACTCTTCATCAGTTCTTAAATGAGGTATAAATTTGAGTTTATAAATATTCTCATTATTTATAACAGATAATATTTTTGCATAACAAATTCTTTACCACCTATTAGCTGAATTTATAAATGACTGGGAATCTTCTTTTACTTACTTCCCAGCCTTATATAGATAGCCGGAGATTACTAATTTTAGTTTAAAATAGTTAAAATAATTAATATTAATGAGTGACACGCTCCACGGCTCCAGGGATTACCCATTTATTTCATGGGAAAGGGAAAAACCCTATTATTCCCAACTCCCCATGAAATAAATAATACATATACAAAAAAAAACAGAAAATTTTCATTAAAAGTATTGATTCTCTCATTATCATATAATATAAAAGTACTCCGGTCCTACAACAAAGGGACTTCACTATGCTCTACCCTGTAAAAAAATATTACGCATAGCCTTGGAGTAGAATCATCCTCCTTATCTCTCTTCCATCATGCCGTTTTACACCAACTGGTCCTATCGCAGGACTGCAGCAAAAGCTGGTACCTATAAGCTTACTAAAAAGCAAGCACCTATACTACAACCCTCGTATAGTACTATACCGCTTTAAACAATTTTCCAATCAGCCCTACTGTGAGACTGCAGAAAATCTGGTACTCACGGGCTTGCAAAGTAAGCACGCTACCATCCCTGCATAGCATCATCGAAATACCCAAAATATCAATGAAAGTACTACCTTATCCACCACCCGCTATATTACTTTAAACAGTTAGACAACAATGAAAAAAAAAGTATGATAAAATGAACATTAGTGGAAGGGAGACAAGAGCGGGTAGCAAAGAGTGAGAGGCGAGAAGGGAGAGAGTGAATGAAAATTTTAGACAACAAAAGTGAAAAGGTGACTTAGGTGAAGACGTAACAAATACTGAAAATGGATTTGTAGCTGTTATGCATTTCTTTTAAGCCGGTGACCTATGTGTTATCACCTTGTACTATTACAAAAAGGTTTAGGAAATGATTTGTCATTTTTTACAAAGGTGAAATGATAAGGAGTTTATCCATTCTTGAAATATGAAAAAAGAGATCAAGAAAATGGTGACAATTCACAAAAGAATAAAACATGTATAGCATTTTCAAACTCAAATGATAAATTTTCAAAAGATTTTATTGATTTAATAATTATAATATTGCTAATTTTTTCATTTTTTTTTTATTTATAAGCTTTACGTGATAGAACAACATCAAGCAAAAAATTATCACTGGGTCAATTCAGTAATTAAAAATTTTTCAGAAATGAAAAAGGTAGTTGATGATATTAAATCATATTCAAGAAGAATAATTTTTCCACACACTTGGAAGGATTACAATGTTCTTAGAGTAGCTTCTTTATTAATATGTACACGTTTAATAATTATTTTAAAGTTATTGTATTATAAATTTCTATTCAATACCATTTTTATGGTAAAAGTAGCATACAATGATGCACCTCATTAGGATTTCAAGACGGGAGATTACTAAAAATATAAAAAAATAATAAAAAGTAAACAAAATTTAGGTTTTGGTACGAAATTTCAAAAATCATTTGAGCGACTGACACAAGACTGACAACAAAATCTCGACAATGACAAGTCAAAATCCTGAAAGTCAAAATCCCAACAAAATTATAACACACTTAAACTAAATATTACATATTGCAAAAATTATTTTATTAGAACACACATCACAAAATTGTCAATATAATGACTTGTCAGGATTTTGGATTGCTGAGATTTTGGATTGTTGAGATTTTGTTGTCAATCTTGTGTTAGTCGTGCAAGTGACTGTTGAGATTTTGATCAGATACCTAAAACTTAATATTCATAATACAAATTTTTATCGGCAAGTTATTAATGAATAGGAGGGATGTTTTTGATTGGACATTTTGTTTTGTAGTACAATCAAAATATCCCGTGACTGTACTTTTGGTTACGGTCACTATAAAAAAATTTATCCGTTATTTCTGTAAAAACTCCGTAAAAATGAGCCTTTCACGGATCCATTCACGGAAAATGTAAATAATTTGATAAATTCCGTGATATAAGGTTATTAATTCCAGAAATATGAGCCTTTTACAGAAAAAAGATGGAATATAAAAAATGGATTGACTTTTATTACTGGGGGTGCTCTGTGTAGTTAGTGACTAAAGGTGCAAACTAGATTTACTTGTATATCCCTGATTAACAGTTTTGTTTTTTTGGCAAATATCTGTTATTCTGTTTTTTATACAACAAAAAAATGGCTACAATACTTATAAACTGCTTGATCATAGACGATTATTCTTATGAAGACATTTTTAAAATCAAAAAGAAAATGTGACAGTTGGAAATCTCGTGGAAGCCATTAAGAAAAGAAACATTGGTTTTGGCGGTAACGGTATAGTGTCATTATTTTACCATCATTAAAAATAGTAGATAGGTCAGTAACTACTTCGTAATATGTGGCGCAATATTAAAATAATTAATTATCACGTGATGTAGATCATTTTATTATGAACGAATATGAAAATAAAAGACCCATATGGTGATAAACATTTTAAAATAATAATAGTAATTATCACCTGGCTACTAATTGGTATTTAGGATTTTTTCCGCCAATTATAAACTGGCGGACCAATTAGTATATCTAGGATGATAAAAAAGTTACCATATATAGTGGGCCACAGTACCCCGGGTATCTTGCAAAAATCGGGGGGTTGACCCTGTACCCCCGGGTACTAAACAAAGCCTAAAAATTCCATTTTTTGCGAATATCTCACGATCTACCAGTCCAATTTGAACGATCTTTTTTTATTTTGAAGACCTCAATGAGAGCTATCAAACAAAAAAAAGATGGCTCAAATCTGATCACTAGATCACGAGATAATTGTAAAATATCCCCTCAGGTACTATACAATTCTATGAAATTTTTCAAGGGGGTACTATGCATAGGGGGGTACTATGGCCTGTGATATACAGTATTTACTGATCTAGTTTAGTATATAAATGGGTCATCATCCTTCAGATGATAACCCATTGATATACACAGTGAAATTCGATAAACTGGATCTTCGATAAACTGGATTTGGCCCTAAACCAGATTTTTTTGCTGGAACTAAATCACGTATATTAAAATAGTTTTGATATACCGGAGTTTATTAGTAAAAGCTCGATATTTGATATAACGGATCAATTTTCTAACCAGCTATAGTAAAAATGATTTGATAAACCGGGTCATGTGACCACTAACCAATTATACTTCTCCGCTAATTAATTACATCATATTTCGGCGAACGGACCAATTCACTATTTATTATAAAATTACTATGAATTAATTACGTCTGTCAAAATACATTACGTCTGTCAAAATAAATTTAATTAGTATTTTGTCATTTTGACGAAAAGTATATAACCAATAAAATTTAAGTAACGTGATGCGGTAAATCTTAATTTTGGCCAGAATTATAAAAATCTTAATTCCAGCCGAAGTTATATATTACTAGGACCCTGGACATCACATATATATAGTGTTCTGAAAAAAAACTGATCCGATTCATATCCGTGGATCTGATCCGTGACAGATCAGATTGGACCATATATTTTATGATCCATGATCCGATCCGAATCAAAAAAATTTGATCCGTTTCAGATCGGATCAGATCGGATCAACAATTCATTAAAATTGGATTGGATTGGATTGATTCGAATGGATCTGGATCGGATCCAGTTCAAAACCATTGCGAAATGGTAAATAAAAAACGTTTCACAACGTTTTTTATTAAAATCAAAAAAAACGTTGCGAAACGTTTTTTTCTTCAATAAATTAATAATAAAAAACGTTTCGCAACGTTTTTTATTAAAATCGTTAAAAAAGTTTTTTTTCGATAAATTAATAATAAAAAACGTTTCGCAACATTTTTTTATTAAAATAGTTAAAAAAACCGTTGCGAAATGGTATTTTTTTCAATAAATTAATAATAAAAAACGTTTCGCAACATTTTTTATTAAAATAGTAAAAAAAACCGTTGCAAAACGGTATTTTTTATTTTAAATTAAAAATAAAAAACGTTTCGCAACGTTTTTTATTAAATCGTTAAAAAAATGTTGCAAAATGTTTTTTTTTCGATAAATTAATAATAAAAAATGTTTCGCAATGTTTTTTATTAAAATAGTAAAAAAAACCGTTGCAAAACGGTATTTTTTATTTTAAATTAAAAATAAAAACGTTTCGCAACGTTTTTTATTAAAATCGTTAAAAAAATGTTGTGAAACGTTTTTTTTTCAATAAATTAATAATAAAAAATGTTTTGCAATGTTTTTTAAATTTCGGATTTGGATCGGATTGGATAAATCCGAATTGAATTCAGACCGAATCGAATCAAGTCTGTTTCAGATTCAGATCGGATCGGATCCATTTTTTTTGATCCGAATTTGGATCAGATCAGATTCATCTCAAATCCGATCTGATTTGATCCGTTCGGAACACTACATATATAACTCATAACTGATCTGCATGAATTTAAGTACTTTTTGCTCCTGCTAAAATAGACCTAATTTGCTAAAAATCAAATTATCACATTTCAAATCTATACTAATTTGCTAAAACTCAAAATATGAGTTAATAAT